AATTAAATAAATAATATTCTATATTCAATTATAAAACTACATCATTAAAATTCTAAAAATGTTTAAAGTTAAAAAATATTGTAAGGTAATTGGTGCAATTTTCATTTTGTTATTTGTGGGTAGGCTGTCCTTAACAACTATACCTTCGAGACATCTAACACCTCAGTTTCTCCTGTGATCATGATTACTGTAAAGCATTCGAAACGTCGGAAACCAAAAATCCAAATAAATCCGCGAAAAAATCCGAAAAGATAGTTTTATTTAAAATGTCAAATATTCGCGTCAATCTAAGAAAATTACACTTTCCGTTGTATTGAAACTGTGAAATGTAAATATTTTTTTCACAAAAAATGTACACCGTCTTCAAACTCATTTAAAAATCAATAATAATATTTTTAATGACAGTTTTTTCTATATATATATATATATATATATATATATATATATATATATATATATATATATATAGAAACATTTAAGTGTATAAGATACAATCGAAGGATAATTTTAAAACTTGTGAAAGTCAATTTTGGAATTCTATTTAACAAAGCTTTGTGCTGAGACAGGGGAAACTACACGTCCTCTATAATTGAGTCTGTCTGGGATTGATTAAATGAATGAATGCTAATAATACTTTCTAAGATTTACGCGAATATTTTACGGGAGAGACTCCTCCGACTATGATTTCTATAAAGAATTCGAAACGTCGGAAACCAAAAATCAAAATAAATCCATGAAAAAATCCGAAAAGATAGTTTTATTTATAATAAATATTTATAATTCTTAAAATTAATCTTTATAATTATAATTAAATATTTATTATTATATTTCATTTGATAGTTTTTAATGTTATATCATTAGGTTTGACGTGAGTTAACTTTATGTTATCCTCTTCTACATAATTTTAAACTTATCTATATCTATACATATAATTGTAACTAAGCCGAATCTGTACATTAAATATTTTTTGGAAAATCTTATTGAAAGGCATTATCTATCTGGGAACGCATCACGAGAAAACCACTGGACCGATTTTGATGAAATTTGGTATGATAATACACTCCGCGACAAAAGTATAACCCACTCCCCTAATTTTGTAATATCCAATATAAAATTATAGTTATATTAATGCATTACTAATACACAAAATTAGGTATTGGTAAGTATATTTTACAATCAATGTACTATTTGTTAAATGCAAAATTAACCAAATACAGATGATATATAAGTTTTGCGGTGCGACAAAAGTATAACCCAGGTAAATTAAATATAAATAAAACTCAAGAGAAATGCAACAAAGAGCAATTATTTATTTAATTTAATATTTAGTACTTCGATCAACATTTAGAAGATCCACCACTTTTACTTATTACTTAAATCATTCTATCTGGTAAACTGTCATATAACTAATTTTTAATTGGTTTTGATTCATGTTTTGCCATTCGTCAATTATTACCGTTTTTAACTCTTCAACAGTGGTAAATTGTTTTGATCCTCAATAGACAGCTCGTAATAAGTTTCCCCAATAATTTTCAATTTTATTTAAGCCAGGAAAATAAGCTGGCCATTCAAGAACTTGAATATTTGTTACAGTAAAATAGTTTTTAACTATTTGTGCACGATGAATACTGACATTGTCGTGCTGAAATATAAAATTAGGACCAGCAATTCGCATTACATGAGAAGTAATCTCTTCATTTATTATGTTTATGAACCGTTTACTATTCAATTTTCCAGTACAGAACTTGATATTCATTTTTCCTAAGTATCCAAATTCCACACCATATCATTACATTACCACCCCCGGCTTGTCGTCAAATCAATACACATTTTTCTATTGTTAAATCGTAAAATAGTAATGTAAACCATCAGGCTCATCTAAATTAAACTTCTTTTAATCAGAGAAAATAACTTTTTTCCAATTCTTCTTCCATTGAACATGATCTTTTGCAAATTTAAATCTATCTAATTTATGTTTACCAGATACCAGTCGTTTTCTTTGTAATTTCTTACGTTTTAGGTATCGACACCCGTGTATATAGGTTGAACATTTCTTAAATTAGTGCTAACACCAGCCTCCACTGCACTTGTCTTGGTGTAAGAGCAAAATTAGATGCAACTCTCAGAATTGACCTTCTTTCAGGCGGTGTTGTTGCCCTTGGTCGACCAGTCTTCTTTGTTTTGCCATAATTTTCAGGATCTTTTAGAAAATTACGCACAACATAATGACTTCTCTTGATAAATTTTGCAATTCTGACTTTCGACCAATTTTTAGTTTTAGAATACAATTTCTTAACTAAATTAATTTCACTGTCGTTGTTTATTTATATACACGTATATTACACGTGGGAAACGTGGCTTTTTGTATTAGAAATAAATAAATATCAATCGCAATAATTTTCTAGTACATAATAATTTACAAGGAACGCAGAACAAGTATAAAAAGGAACTGACACGTCTAACACATGAAGCTGCTCAAGCCAAAGAAAGTTATGGGTTATACTTTTGTCGCACTATCAAACTAACAATCACGCCGTAATATAAGAAAACCACTTAGAATGTAATTGAACACATATTATAATACTACAAACAAATAAAGAATATTAGTGCAATAGTAATATATCATGATAAATATAGTCTTACATTGGATATTACAAAATTAGGGGGGTGGGTTATACTTTTGTCGCGGAGTGTAGATATAGGATAAGTTTTTACACCTGGAAAATATCTGATCTCTGAGAAATCTATACTAAACATTAAAACGTATAGTACCTTACGTATAACTTTTAAATAAAGGAAGCGAAAATTTTTGTTATTATAAATTGTTTGATTCAGTAGTACACATCGTGAAGTTCAATGTAAATAAGGAATAGCACGTTATCAAGCTCCTACCAGGATTAGCCACCATCTGCCTATGATTGATCATTTGATAAGCGACACTAGCATGAACGATTACACCTGATAATGTAAACCGTAATCAAAGCTTCGAATTTAATATCGACCAGAACAAGCAAATATATCAATCAAAATTAATAATAAGGACTTATAGTTTCCTTTGTAACATTTTAAATGTTAGAAAGATATTTACCATTAATTTTATTAGTCAGTGACTGTGTTTATTGTGTTTAGTCTAGATTCTAGAATATACATAGATTTTACTATATTACTAATACTATACGATTAAAGTTGCGGGCTAAAACTAGCAAGTTAATATTTAGAAATTATCTATCTCTTCTATATAATACGCAACAAAAATTCTTATTATTATACAAGCATTGTTGAAAACAGAACTATTTCACTCGATCTTGATTCAGAACCTAACGGTGGCATATAAAGATATTATCGACTCCACGATGATTTCTAGTGAAATCAAACCATTGTTTCCACAAAACGTCCACTCACCGTCCTTTGAGCATCTATTCAATGTTTTCCAATCGATCTGATTACGGTTTCGCTGCAAGCGATTTCGCCTATTCGGACAGATGTAAGCTCGCCACAGTTCAGAATCACGATAATGCCATACGTCATATAAATTTGACTCCGAAACGTTCATATCCAGACAACGATGATTCCTTTGATTGGAACGAGCACTGCAGTACGCTCGAGGCGCTCCATTTGGCGCATCTTCGGTTCATGGACTGATGCGATGCGTTTTAATCAATTAGTTCGCAAAACGTGCTTTACGAATCAATGGGCAGTGAAATAAGGCAGGCCACCGCGTCGAGTTTTCGGTCTGGAGCTCTCCGGTTTCAAAATTTTTGACATGATGTCTCACTTTGTATACAGGGTGCGTCTTGTAACCTAAATTTTGGATAATTTTCCAAATTTTCAAGCTAGATTTTTGGGGTTTGATTGTAATTAACTTTTTTATAGCCGATATTAGTTTGGATGTTGTAAAATAATAGTATTTTTATAAAATTTGTTATTATAAAATAATACCGTCTTCAACATATAAATACAGCCTATATACTTGATCTTGTTTTTCGATCGTTTTCGAATAACTTTATAAGCGAAAACCGTTTTTCTTATTTTGCTTTACAGCTCGTGGGGTTTGGTCTGTCGTTGATTTAGAAACTTGATATGAGATGGAAAGCTGATTTTAGTTCTTCAAAATATATTGAACTCATTAGATTTTATATCGTCATATAAACAAAAGCTAAAATAGTTCACGGTTTATTTTATTTCGTTTTAAATTGGAGTACCGTATTTTAAGTATCGCATTTCCAGGTCTGACACTGTACTACTTACTGGGACTTCAATAAATTATATAATATAATATCTCGTACCATAGCCTTAACTTAAAACACCTTCATAAATGAATATTTCATATACTATAAACGATAAGTATTGGTATGTAGAAACATCGATAATCAAAATTATGTCAGCTGATATCTTTTACTAATCGATTTATTTCGAGTTGCTGACTAATAGAATCAATCAATGACATATTTGCGCAACGCCATATCCATGATAGCCCCATTTTGGTGTTATTTTTCTGATTTTATCGTATTATAAATGTTACTTACGGGTACTTACATCAACTTTACCTAATGACGTAAAATGATACTTTATTAGATTTACACGAATATTTAACATTTTAAATAAAACTATCTTTTCGGATTTTTGCGCGGATTTATTTTGATTTTTGGTTCCCGATGTTTCCGCGACGAATATAAAGTTTCTCCTGTGACCATGATTGCTGTAAAGTACTTAAAACATAGGGAACCCAAAATCAATTAAAATGACGTAGAATGACTTGGAAATATTGTACTTTCTTGGAGAATATGAATCCGATTCTCATCAATTTCTTCCGTCATAAGAAAGCATCTCTTTTTTGTCTTTAAACTCAGTTTTTCTTTAAAGTAATATTAAGTATTTTACTATTCATTACAAAAAATATATGGAATTACAATTGTAATTATCAAATTATAGTTTCTTGTAAAGATTTGTGTTATTGATTCGTTTTAACTAGAATGGTTCATCTTTTACAATTTTGGTAGATGTTGCAATCACTCGGTAGGCTTTCACGTTATCTACCATCTTTCTTTCACTTCTTTTTGATTACAAATAAAAATATGTCAATGTTCCTCAAACTGTATTTTTTAATTGAAATTTAATTATCGTTGAACATAATACTTTCTTAGATTTACGCGAATATTTGACATTTTAAATAAAACTATCGTTTCGGATTTTTCGCGGATTTATTTTGATATTTGATTCCCGACATTTCGAATGCTTTACAGCAATCATGGTCATGGGAGAGACTTAGGTTTTAAACATCTCAAAAGCATTATATACTCGTTACAGACATCCTATCCACAAAATAACAAAATGAACTTAAAAAATACAAAAATGACACCAAAATATCTTACAAAATTTGTTATTTTTTTTATTTTATCTAGGGATTTCTCCACTGTCTCATAAAAACATAACGGTGTAGATTGATTTAAAATGCTACATTCTGTAATGATGATATAATAAATATTCATATAATTATATTTTAGTTTAATTCAATCTGATATATGGATTTTATGTGACAGTAGTTTTAACGTTCTGATTATACTTATAGATATCAATTAACTTTACACTAAATACATATATATTATCCCATACTGATATTTACATAACGGAAGTTCCTTACACTTATAAAATTAAATGAATGCTTTATACTTAATACTCTTATATTTACGCGAATATTTGACATTTTAAATAAAACTATCTTTTCGGATTTTTTCGCGGATTTATTTGGATTTTTGGTTCCCGACGTTTCGAATGCTTTACAGCATTCATGGTCACGGGAGAGACTGAGGTGTTAGATGTCTCGAAGGTATAGTTGTTACAGACAGCCTACCCACAAATAACAAAATGAAAATTGCACCAATTACCTTACAATATTTTTTAACTTTAAACATTTTTATAATTTTAATTATGTAGTTTTATAATTGAATATGGAATATCATTTATTTAATTTTTGCTGTTATTATTATAATTATTACAATTTAAAAAATATTAATTAGTAATCTATATTTAGTGTTGCCATTATTATATTTATAACCATAAAGAAAAATATAAAATATAGTATTAATTATTTAAGCCATATAATTGTTGTATCTCTATAAAGAGATAGTGTGCACTTGTGTCTCCAAATCCACGTAATATATAATATATATAACCCAGTCATTTAAAAAAAAACCTATATTTACAATATCTCATTTCCTTGTCCACAGAAGAAGCTACCAGTCCAGACAGCGGTGTGAAGGACCAGCGGGAAAGGGGGGCGCGGGACGGTGAAGGGGAGGGGGGCTCACCTTCATCCCCGGCGTCCCGCGTCTCCCCCGCGGACGAGCGGGACATCGAGCACAGTATACCAGCTACCCTCATTCAGGATCCTAATGCTGAAAGGTAGATAGGTTTCTTTTTAAACCTCAAAAACTTTTTTTTTTTTTTTAATGATGGGGAATAGAGAATGGCGCTTCATTGATAGAATAATAAATAATCATGCCAATACTATAGAGAAACAAATAATAGTAGCGTCGTTAATGTCCAAATTAAATTTGTTTTGCAAAATTAGTAAATCGTTTTTTTATTATTTTGGTCAATTTTGGTCATGCAGTGTTGCTAGGTTATTTCTTGATTCCCATCACTATAATTCTTTCTTAGATTTACTCGAATATTTGACATTAGCATATTTGAGACGATAGGAGATTATGAGACGGGAAAGTCTCTGGTGATGATTGCTGTAAAGCACTTGAAACGTTGGAAACCAAAAATCTAAATAAATCCACAAAAAATCCGAAAAGATAGATTTTTTTACTTCAAAACCTTCTATTACGCTCAATTTAAAACAATACGATACAATCGAAAGTTTATTCACTATAACTAAAAACAATAAAAAAGCTATCGAAATTGAACTTAATATGTGCTTCATAACAATAGAAATGAACTAATATTTTTTCAACTATCCAATTCCAAAACAATGTCAACTAATACGTTCAAAATATCAGTAAAGCGACTCAATGCTATCGGGTACGATACATTCATAACACTTCTGACACGAGGACATTGTCTACTTGACGGTGGTCTCGACTTCAATCCGCAGTGTCCACTTTAACGATCCCATTGTTTTCGATGATCAGTTGTCAACTGATGTCCATATTGAACCAAATAATTAAACCCTTTCCATTCCACCCGTATTCCTATACACTAAAGGATAGTTTCCATTGCATAAAGTTCCATGATACTTTGGCTAGAACAGAGAAATGAATGGATGCGCGATACTGACAGCTAGTAGGTAGTGACACTAAAAAATATCAAGAATTTCTCATTTGACACTCCATCAATATCTGTTATACTGCAACGGATCTGTCTTGATAATTATCGCGAAAGATAAAAAGTTGTTTTTTTTTGTTGTGAATATGATTCATTAAAGTGCATTTACACCGTAATTGATAATGCAATTTCTTTATGTCTGGGTATATAAATAATTGCTGCTATAACTTTTTTTTCTTATTAAAGGTTCTATTAAAGGAATTTTTAGTTAGACACAGTGAATTAATTACTCTTATACAGATATTATACTAGACTAGCATTGCCCGCGGCTCCGCCCGCGTTCAGATGACCAACAATCAAATTCTTAAGTTTTACGTATTAATTATTAGTATACTCTTAAATTGCAGTTTTTGTATTTTTGCTCAGAAATGAAACATTTTCCCGCGGTAAAAAGTATCCTATATGTTGACCCGGATAACCAGCTATTATCATACCAAATTTCATCAAAATCTATCCAGTGGTTCTCCCGTGATGCAGTAACAGACAGGCAGACAGACAAAAATTCTAAAAACTATAGATTCGGCCTCTGTATCGATAATAATGTCAATAAGATTTTCCAGAAAATATTTAATGTACAGATTCGGCTTAGTTAGAATTTTATTATATGTATAGATATACAGACATTAACACAAAACACTATCTAGTCCCATGGTAAGCTACGGGGCTTACACATAAATAACTTTAAATACATACATATTAAAAATATACCCATGACTCCAGTCGTAGGTGCTTATATTTATAATATGTATGTATTTAAAGTTATATATGTGTAGTGTATCACTATCAACTAGGTATCTGGTATCCATAACACAAGCCTCGTAGCTTACCATGCGACTAGATAGTGTTATGTGTTAATGTCTTTACATTTTTATCTATACTAATATTATAAAAAGGTACAGTTTGTGAGTTTGTGAGTTTGAGACGTTGTAGGGGGTAAAATATCTGGATAATTGGAAATCATCCCTAATTCTAATTATTCTATCTTAAAAGACAGAATAAATTTGAATTACACATTACATGGACTGTAACTATGATATTGCCATTCCCAAATCAATATGCGTAAATCAAAAATAAATATTCGTTTCAAAATAGAATCGCAGGTGTCAGCTCAGAAAACACTAGCGAATAGGCTACTACTGAGCCTAAAGTCAAAATACGAGCTCTATTAAAACATAATCCTTCATCTAAGATGCACTGTGTAATAAAAAGATATGTCAAAAAATTAATTTTTAACAACTTAATTAGGATTCTAATATTTCAAACCAATAAAAACTGGACTTTACTTCGCAGGTAGAAACTTTTTTGCCGTTCAAAACCAATAGTGAACAGTTTGTCAAACTAAATTCAATCTTATTGCTTTCGTATTAAAGATTGGGTTATCTAATGCAGGTATTTTAACAGCAAACGATAGTGGTAGTGTACACGTAAACTGCTCAATCACTGTCAATTAGTTGCAGTGAAGAGATCCCATCAATCATCAACATTCTCCAGAGCTGAATCCATCCTGAGGGTCTATTGTTTAGAGTTTGGACTCTCATATTTATGTAGTTCTAGATTGAAAAGTTTAGTAAAATTGAACGAGATATACATACATCTATATAGATAAATAAAATTGTAGTGTCTGTTTATAATGACAAAATAACAGCTTTTTACTAAATGCATATTAAATTATTATATACGCTACCTATACGAAAGACACAGTTTTTAAAGTTTTTGTCAGTCTGTCTGTTTAAGCTAATCTGCGAAACGGCTGGACCGATTTGATGGGAATTTCACTGGCAGATAGCTGATGTTATAAAGAGTAACTTAGTCTACTTTTATTTTAGAAAAAGAATCAGGGTTCCGCGCAACAAAATTAAAACCCATAAAATTACAAACAAAACGAGCATAAATCGCTAGTATATAATGAACAAATTTCTTTTTTGTCCACTATTGTAAAAAGATTTTGTTTGTTTGTATGTAGTGTATAGTGTAATCTACATACTTGGGTTTTGGTTCAACAAAAAACATATTTTACTGATAAAGTTATAAGATAGTCTAGCATGACAAGTGGAGCCGCTTACGCAGACTAGTATTGATAATCATATATGTCTGTGTTTTTTTTATGTATAGATTGACTGTCGACTATAGAAGAGGTCATGGGTTCGAATCCTGCTCGTGTAAAAAGGCGTTAACTTAATAAAATTCAAACTTAATAGGCGTAAATACAAAAAATAATATCTTTACAGTTTTATATCTATCATTTGTTACAAATAAAATATTACGAGTAATATAATTCATTAACTTTTCGTTTAAGAAATTACTAATTCTTTTGAGTTATTCAATTCAATTCTCTTGTTTATGGCTTCAAAGCGTGGCAATTGAACACAGATTATTTCGCCAATGTCACGTAGAATGAAGAAGATACGAAGGAGATGACGGTAAAATTTTTGAGTTATAACGGTAGATATACCGTTATTGATTTTTTCATTGATTTCGTCATTGATAAATGTCTAGCGACTCACCCTCGCTTCGATCGGGTTCGTTCCTAGCTTACTTCCCAATACCAACTTTCATCCCCATTTTCACCCCCTTAAAATATTATTTCCGAGATAAAAAATCCTATGTCTTTTCCAGGGTCTCAAACTATTTTCTTACCAAATTTCATCTAAATCGGTTCAGTAGATCCAGAGATTACCCCCTACAACGTCACAAACTCACAAACTTTACCTCTTTATAATATTAGATGACAATATGATCGTTGACATTATATCCTGTCCGCTATCAATTTGTATAGTGACGTCATCGTTAAAACTTTAAAGTTAAACCTTCATATCGTTAAATTAGTATAAACGAATATAATTCAATAGACGATATCAAATTGAAGCAACTTCCTTTAGTTGTCCCTAAAACAGAAGCCGTTTCTATATTTTTTTTTTCAATAACTATGTGTCATAAATCAAACACAAAAAACAACTATGTTCAAATTATCAACATTCCGCTCTTTTATTGCTCCTAAGACATCTGTGCCGATTTTAAAATTCACGTTGTAACTGCGAAATTATTCAAACCCTGTCAGGTGTCCCCCATACGCCCGCACGCTGTAGCATTCGCCTTCGCAAAACTATATAAGTAAACTTGCTTCCTGCCTTCAAGGAAGGAAAAAGAAAAAGGAATTTACATATTCGAAAAAGAATATTTTTCTAAGTTGATTGAGAACAAATTAAGATTTATACTTAGTCGTGTTATGATTCATGTTGGGTTCTAGTTAGTACTGTCATATGATATGTGTACGGTCTGTATCTATACTAATATTACAAAGAGGCAGTTTGTTTGTTTGAACGCGCGTATCTCAGGAACTAGAAATCCGATTTGAAAAATTCTTTTTGCATTAAATAGCCCGTTTATTGAGGAAGGTTGTAGGCTATATAACGTCATGCTACTACCCAAGAGAGCGGAGCACTAACCATAAATGTCAGCAAATCGGCAGACTTCCATACATAATTATTTATTACTAATAGCATAAAGCCAAAGTTTTTTTTTGTAGTTTTAGCACGACCGAATCCGAGGGTTCTGCTAGTATTGATATAGTCAGTAGCCACTTACTTTCGCTTCGCTCGGGTACGTTTTGTTTTTATAATATTACGTACAGGTAGCGCCACCTTTTGGCAAATTGTATTACTAACAAAGTCTGTGTTATTCTAGATCTACCTGTCAACTCAATTTTATCTAAATCCGCCCAGCTGTTAAAACGCGAGAAAGTATCAAACACACATAAACTTTCGCATTTACTATATAGTAATATGTAGTAACAGTGTGATTCTCTGTAAATATCAAATTAACAGATCCAGAGACCACTTTCTTTTTCCCAAAAATAGTCTAACTCACATTTGGAAAATAGTACATTCAAAATTTAAAGGAAATTGAGATAAAATTCAAACGTTTAAATTCATTCATTCATTCATTCATTAGTTAATGCCTGTTAGTTATTGTATGTATCTCCAATTTATATAACAGGGGTTATGTGAGTTTTTATACATATATATAAACTGTCTCAGAAGTAGGCCAATTTTACTCTAGCAGACTCATATATAAATATATTACACATAATTTTGTCAAAAATAGGATTTTCGACGTTCGTGAGTGCTTACAATTCATGTCACATAAATATAAGTGATTGATTGACCCGCAGCGTACTAATGTGTATAGGAAACTATAAACAGCTGGCTTTTCTGTTGGCTTTCGTCATTTAAAAAGTTTTTTGTCGTGACGCGACCGAATCCACGCGATCTTTGTAATGAATTACACAGTTCGTTTTTTATGTGGGTGTCTGGGGTAGAGTGCATATTTGAATCCCGTATGGTGCATGTTTCATTATGTACTACCGACTTAATAACTAAGTTTTAATTTTTTTAAGCGGAACTCTAATTCTTTTTTTTAAATAAAAATAGCCTAAGTTACTCCTTATAACATCAGCTATCTGCCAGTTAAAGTTCCGTCAAATTCAGTCTAGCCGATTTGGAGATTTGCCGGAACAAGCAGACAGACAAAATTAAAAAAAATGTGTTTTTCTTATATGTACCATATGTAATTTCATATGCACTTAGTAAAAAGCTGGTAATTTGACATTACAAACAGACACGTCAACCTTACATTAATCTTATTAGAATCTGATTACACCATATTATTATACCCGAATATTAAAATGTACTTTAAACATAACAAAAACAATAGTATCGTATCGTTTGAAATAAATATAAAAGAGCATTTTTGTTGAAGGAAATCTGTTCATGATATGTGTAAATCCATCCCCTGTCCGCTAAAGGGACTGCTGACGTTTTGTTACCGAGATTTTCTTGTCAACCCTGTGTAATCTTTACGTAAACTTTCATTTTGAGTTTGTTACGAGTGAGTTAGGTATCCGCTCATATGCTTTTAAATGCTAAACTCGTAATTTTGGAAATTATCGTCTCTACATATGTAGAGCTCTAATCGTAAAACTTCTTATATAGCTTGGGGAAACTCTTTAATTATATGATATTTAAAAACAATGTCGTTTTTTTAAGTATCAAAATAAACTTTGTTTTCGTGTCCGTTGAAATATTTTTTTGATTAGACAAACTTAATATTCAGTTTTATTTATTAAACAACTAACATTAGTTGTTATTTTTTCTAATAAGTTATGCAATTTTATTAATATTTAGAAAACAGGTTGTGTCTGCTAATTCTGGCAATTGTTTTTATTATGGGGTTTGTTGTTTGTGTCCATCTGCACCTTTATGTCAATTAGTTATTAATTTCGTATCGTTTATTTCTAATAGATGTTTATTAGATAATAAACATATTTTTCATGTCATAGTTATAAGTTGACTGTCATCGAAACGATCACTGCACGTCCTCGCGCATACTACGCTTGCATTACGCAGCACCACCCCTCGAAGCGTTACATATAACCATCTCTCTCCCTCCTACGCAAATATCCAATCAACCAGCACCTGTCTCGCTCTAACACGGGGGGTAGAGCGTGTAGGGGGGGCGGGGAGATGCAGGCGGGTCGTAAATCACGCGGCATCTCATTCCACGCGGGACCGCCGTCGACGTCGGTACCGCACTTCCCTCCTAACCGCCGAACTGGCGCGTCTTTCGCGACGTGTTTACAAATCCTGGGAAGTTTCAAGTGAATATAGTGCTTTAATGGATTCAATATTCGATTTGGAGTTATATTAGAAAAAATTACATCAAAAATGATCGTCGAGCCCGACCATGTGAGGTAGGCAACGTATATCGTTTTATTTTATACGAAAAGCCGATGTTTTTTTGTTGTTGTATATTTTTTCGACTCTACAACTTGTGATCTGTTTTATTTTTGAACTCTATATATCTTTTCATGAATCGTGACAGTGTTTCGCCTTGACATAAGTTAGTTTTTAAAGCTTTATTGCTAAGTTCTAATTGAAGATTTTTGTTAGAACTTTGATTTTTTCTGATGTGTTACTTGTGTTGGTTTCGAAGTGGAAAAAATATTTTCAAAATGGAAACTATAAAAAAAATTGTATAAGTAATATTAAATTAGAGAATTTTGAATAAAAACTTCTTGTCTCTAATTTTTATTTTTACTCCGTGCGTTCATTATCTTTTGTGCTTAACTCTACATTTTGAATTACTCAATTATTCTTATTAAATATACTCCATTTTATCTTATTAATCTATAATCGTTCCTTCATTGTCACAAAAGTGTTTTTATCAATCGTTATCATGATGGCTTGAATAATTATATATTAGTCATAAAGATTTGTTTTACTTGAGTTTTCCTTAACCGCCTATTTTATTTCATAATTTAATTCCTGAACGCAATTGAAGTTAAATTATTATTATAACAGACAGTTAAGTCCTTGAAATTGTCAACTTCATTTTATTGTTTATTACATGGCGTGTATAATAAAAATAAAATGATTTGACACATTTATTTTATGTTATTTAAATGCAAAATATTCCCAAGAGACAGAATTTCTATCGCATATTTTATTGTTTGACATTTTCTTGTTATCCATTTACAAAACTAGTTTTAATACAAATAAAATAATTTTAATTCAAAACACGTGAACGATGTTATCTTAATAATTCAGATTTACATTCATTTAGTAGATGATTTTACTACTGCTAAAACAAATGAGAAGCTAAAGTCGTTGTCGTAAATTTTTATGTTATAAATAGTCAAATAGATAATTTATGTTGATTTATAGATGTAGCATCCGTTTTATAAGAGTAGTGTGGTACGATTGACGAAATATAATAAGTTTCGATTTCATTCACGAATTTTTATAATTTTCGTTCGTGTTAAAGATATTATATACATAGTTATAAAACTTCTACCATAGTATAAGTTTAGCTTTAATTTACAATTTATTGAATCGTGTTTAATGTTTTACATAAGTTTCATCAAAATCAGTGTGTCATTAATTTACAATATTCCAAACGAAATGTTAAAAAATAGCAATAAGAAATAAAATATTAAAGTTAATATATTTTGTTCACAGGGAGAGTCCAAGATGTCTATCGCGTGAGTCGTCGGGCGCGCCGCGATGTCCCTCCAACGACTCGGTCTACTCTGGCCGCAGTGCGCCGAGCTTACCGCTACCAGCCGCCCTGTCAGCAGCCCTGCCAGCCGCGTTGCCGGCCGCCCTCCTCCCACCCCACTCTGCCGCGGTAGCCGCCTACTTGGGCGCTGCAGCGGCAGCCGCCCAACAGAGACTTCTTATGTCCTGCCATGAAGACATGACCGACTCTGAACGAGGCGATGCAGTCCTAGACTTTAGTACCAAACGAAGTGAATCTCCTATTGATGATGATGACGATGATGCCGTTAATCTTAGCAAGAATGAAAACGGACCGCTTGACTTATCAGTTGGCACAAGAAAACGAGGGCCAGAAGATTCACCGTCCCCAGTACCCAGTCGAAAAAGTTCAAGATCATCTGATTTTAAGCCGATTTCAACTCCTTGGGCTAACCCAGTAGCCCCACACTTGCCTTACTTCGCAGCAGCGGTAGCAGCCGCTAGTTTATCTCCAAAAGGTGGAGTACCAGCTGAATGGAATGGCAAATTGAAACATGGTACTCCTACACCGAGTGATGCTACTAAAGCTCTTGAAAAGATGAGTGAATTAAGCAGATTAGGTGGAGAAGAATTGTTCAGATCAGTCCAAAGTGCTGCATTGAGCGCTGGACTGACACCTAATGCAGCCGCGCGACATTCTGCCTGGCAATCGCATTGGCTTAACAAAGGAGCTGACCAAACTAAAGATGTATTGAAATGCGTTTGGTGTAAGAAAAGCTTCAATTCGTTAGCTGATTTGACCGTTCATATGAAGGAAGCAAAACATTGTGGAGTAAGTGTTTCTGTACCACCATCTTCAGGTGCGCCTATACCAGCCTCACTCCAGCCACCATCAAGTTCACCTTCAACTCCATCGCACAACTCTTCATCTTCGAGTGGCTCGTCTAAACCTAATCATAACGACTTAAATATGCTTATTAAGGAGAATATGCCAATACCTAGAAAGCTTGTACGTGGTCAAGATGTATGGTTAGGTAAAGGTGCTGAACAGACTAGACAAATATTAAAATGTATGTGGTGCGCTGAGAGCTTTCGATCGTTGGCTGAAATGACTAGTCACATGCAGCGCACTCAACATTATACGAATATTATATCACAAGAGCAGATAATTTCATGGAAGTCATCAGATGAAGCAAAAGGATCTAATTCTAGCGCACCTGGCGCCAACAATACGGTTCCTCCTACAACAGGGACTAGTAGTCATGTTAGCGCTGTTTTAACTTGTAAGGTTTGCGACCAAGCTTTTAGTTCCTTAAAAGAATTAAGTAATCATATGGTTAAAAATTCACATTACAAAGAACATATAATGCGTTCGATTACCGAAAGCGGTGGTAGGAGGCGACAAACGCGGGAAAAGAGAAAGAAATCGTTACCAGTTAGGAAACTTCTCGAATTGGAAAGAGCTCAACATGAGTTTAAAAATGGGGATGGTAACGGTGTCCCTATGGGCAAACCAATTAGGGACTTCGGTGCTGGTAGTCGAATTACTTGCGAGAAATGTGGGGACAAAATAGAGACTGCAGTTTTCGTAGAGCATATCAGACAATGCATAGGCGCGCCCATGTCGAATAGCCAAAGGAATTTTCTGAAGAGTGCTCTTCTTTCTAATAATATAATCCCGCCCGACGTACCTGGTCATATAACACCTACTAACCGTGATGGTCGTAAAAGTATCAATGAGGAAATACCCTCACCCGGGTCTGTACACCATCGTTCCCCTTCTTCGGTCAATGATGCATCGCCTAGTTCCAAAGATCATAATGCGAGCAATGACAAAAGTTCATCCCCGTCTGTACTCAACGCTATAGAACAATTAATAGAAAAAAGTTTTGATACCCGCTCGCGGCATTCAGTACCTGGTATGCCAGGAGGGGCATCTCACGCCCCTATCGGTTCGAGTATTCTTAAAAGGTTAGGCATAGATGAGAGCGTAGACTACACAAAGCCACTAGTAGATGCTCAGACGATGAGCATGTTACGTAATTATCATCATCAGCAGGGATACGGTCGTAGGGAACGTAGCGGTAGCGAATCTAGTTCTATGTCAGAGCGGGGTGGAAGCAGAGTTGAATCTCTTACACCTGATAGGAAGCTAGACTCGTATCACATGACTCCACGCACTACTCCTGACACTCGTGGTTCTCAAACCCCCGCTTCTGAAGATCGCCCTACCGAAGTTAGGATAAAAAAGGAAGTAACTGATGATGAGGAACGTGAAAACGGTGTCGATTTGAGTAGTCAACCAGTAAGGGTTAAAACTGAGGTAGACGATGAAGAAGAACAAGCTAGGCCGAGTAGTGTGAATGAAGAGGACGTGAAACCTGTTGCCAAACGTGAAAGTGAGGGCCCGAGCCCTTCAGCTAGTCCTCGTAGTCCAGCTAGCGATCGTTCTGCGCCAACTCCTGGTGCTGATAGAAAACCAGCTTCGAGCTTAGGAGCTCTATCATCTATGTTCGATAGTCTTGCTGGAGGTGGTTCGTCGAATGAACCAAGCTCTTCCCGCCGTAGTGGTAGCCACCCTTTAGCGGCTTTACAAAAGCTTTGCGATAAAACTGAAACAAACACATCTCGTGCACCCGCTCCAGCCCCTTCTCCCGCTGGACCACCCAGCATCCTGACCTTTAGCTGGGCTTGTAATGATGCCGTCGTCACCGATTCAATTATGAAATGCGCATTATGTGACACTCCATTCATATCGAAGGGCGCTTATAGACATCATCTCTCGAAGATGCATTTTGTTAAGGACGGTGCTTTACCAGAGCCGGTAGTAGTAAAGGCCCCCCCTGCAGGCTCCCCTGGTGTACATAAAAGTGGAGGATCCAACGCAGCATCCCCGCAAGATCCGAGAAGCCCATCTCAATCTTTCGACGAAAGTCCTCACTCAAAATTCCTTAAATATACGGAACTGGCAAAGCAGCTGTCAAGCAAATACGTGTAGACTAAGGTCGGTCGGCCATCAGTTGTGATGATACCATATCCTGATACGAACCTATCTAGGTTTAGGTCGCGACGCGACGTTAAGTATTTCGAAACTCTTTGCCAATTTAACTATTTAGGTAATCGTTAGTTCACCGCATAGTTCGGTTAGTGTAATTACGACTAGCGACATAAGTATACGCCAAACGTGTTACGTTCGTTTAGATATTAAGAAAATATTTTCAAAATATTGCCTTTAGGAGACGGTTGTCGCGGCCGGTGGCTGGGCTTCTTCCATACTATGTTGTAATTCCATTTCGATAATTGTAAATATAAGTCACATTAAGTTTGAAAAGTTCGATTCGATCTCTCGTAAATGTATATTTTTTGCTAATGATCCAAAACGGTGGCACGACGTATCGGTGGCACCGTCGTGCGTGAACACTTACAGTATTTAATAAAAATTCGTTGCAATATGGTTTCAGTTGTGAATCGCGTTAGAGTTAGCATTGGTTTATTTTATGTATATTTTGTACGCTTTTGTTTTGTATTGATATCCGTCGATACGCAATCTCGGAGATCAAATCTCAGTTATGTTGTAAATACACAGTTCATAGCATGCAATAATAAAATCTCCTTAGTGTAAATTTCTTCTAGACTCTCCACGCGAGATTGCTATTTATTATTTAGTATTAAGGGTAATGTAAGGCGACTCTACTGTGAACGAGTGTATACCGCAGATCGGTTGTCCAGATCAACCAATCGTATTTTAAAAAGTGATAAATATACAATTTTTTCTTTAAAAAGGACTTACTACATTCGTATACGCTTAGAATCTTCTTCCAGTTGAAACAGCAGATATACGATGTATATACGGTACTCGAGTGAAAGCTCCTTTTATATTATAAAATATTATAAACTATAATGTAAGTTTCAAGCGATATCATGGTGTAACTTTTCAGTGCCTCCTTGCACAGCCTGTGTCAAAACTAACACTTATTTGCCTTCTCATACCCTGTAAAGGTTGTGCATCGAGAAGTCTTAATGAAAATTTTAAATTGTAAATCTTTTACGATAATGAAACGTACGAAAAATATGTATACGCTAGCTCTGATGAGAGGATTTTGCTCATTCTTTAATAAAAAAAAACTGTGTTGAATATTAATTTTACCAAATTTAATAATCTTATTTAATATTTTATGTTGTATTTCAAAATGCAATTAAAAGCTCAAAGAAATATATATGTTAAATACTATAATGTATTTTATTTCATGCATCCTTTCTATTAGCATCTACGAGTATATGATACTTGGGTTCTAGTGCTCGAAATTGGACCATTATTATTATTGAAAATTTGAGGACCAATATACATATAATAAATAAAACTACCTGTCTATATAAAAAAATAACTGTTTTAATTTTTTATTGATAACATGAAAGCTCGTCAATAGCTACTAAATAAAAACAAAGAAAATCATTTGACTAACAGAGGAGAAAAAGGTCTGAATAATAGTTTACAAGTCATTTAATATAATAAATAAATATGTTGAGACATTAACCCACAGCACCATCTAGTTCCATGGTAAGCTATGAGGCCTGTGTTATGGACAGATAATTGATACACTATACATATAACTTTAAAAACATACATATTATAAATATAAACACCCATGACTGCTGTACAAACATTCGTGCTCATCACACAAATGAATGCCTCCAGCGGGACTCGAACCCGCGACAGCTGGCGCAGCAATTATGGTCACTACAAACTGAGCTGAACGTGTCGTCAATAAAATCAAAAATAATGCTTTATAAAAGTTAATTATACATTTATTTAAGAAAATAGTTCAAAACTTAAATAAGTTAAAATATTAACATATAACGTCATATGAACTGAAACTATGGATAATATAAGACAATATAAAAGTTTTTAAATTTGTAAGAGAAAACAAATTGATTTTGAGACACTTTACTATGGAAAAACTTTTTAATGATTTAAAAAAGTCGAAGGTATTATTTTGAAGTGACCTTTTTCTCATTATCAGTAGTTAATAATTTCAGTTTATGAAATATCATCATTTATAGGCATTTCCTTAAACGTCACAAATCTAATCTATTGAGATTCGAACTAAATCAAATATTAGATAACGCAAAAATAATAATATAATATATACTCAGTTCAGAGTACATTCAATGAAATCTCTAATTTTGTATTATTAGCAGAAATAATATCAGTCAGAAGTTCGATTCTCCGTTAAGACCAATTATTTTGTGTTTAAACTGTAGTGTGATAGAATTTCAAAATGCTTGGGAAAGAGACATTAATAAATAAATACGTTGGGACATTAACACACAGCGCCATCTAGTTCCATGGTAAGCTACGAGGCTTATGCTATGGATACCAGATAGTTGATACACTACACGTATATAACTTTAAATACATACATATTATAAATATAAACAACCATGACTGGAGTACAAACATTCGTCATCACAAAAATGAATGCCCCCAGCGGGACTCGAACCCGCGACCGCTGGTACAGAGAGTAGGGTCACTACAAACTGAGCTAAGCGTGTCGTCAAATTTAATTATTACATAAAATATTATATTCGACGACAAACAAAGTATCTTTTCTTGTCTTTAAATAAAACAAGGGCCTTGCAAAACAGTGAAACGATTAATAATTTTATTTATATTAAATTAGTTAATAAATGAATAAAAAATATTTTTCTGAATAACTGATATTATAAAACAACCCTTCCGTATTTTAACTAGTTTTTGTATCTTTTAAAACTACGAAATCTATATTAAAAATATTTAGCTTCTTTTAAAGTCATAGATAACTAATATGTGAGAATAAAATTTAAATATTTTTTATTAAAATTAACTTTCTTTACACTTAGTTCCTTTATAGAAGGTGTATTCTAAGGAAGGGTTTTTAAAAATCTATATCTTAATAGGGTAAGAAAGTTTGTATCGAAATTTGTAATTTTTGAAGTTAGAAATATGGCAATGGATATTTCAACATCAATATTGCCGATAGGAAATCCCATCGAGTTTACTGATTGTATAAAACAAATTGTAACACAATCGAAAATCTTTACAATTAATATAATTTAAAAAAGTCAAATCCATAGCTTTTACTTTTTTTTTCTTTTTTTTTTTTGGTGTTGTAAGTTTGACGTGTCTCAGTGTGTGTCTGTCTATGGCATCATGACTCCTGAACGGATAAACCGATTTTGATTTTATTTATTTGTTTGAAAAGTGAATTAGTCGGGAGTGTTTTTAGCTATGTTTGATGAAAATCGGGCCAAGATGATCATGGATTATTTAAATTTTTATTTTATCATATCTACATGTAGAAATATGTAACTATCGAAAATGTCTAGAAATTGCTAAGGGTTGAAGGGCTCATTAATTGGATGATATAAAACAAAACGTCATTTTAATTAACCTTCATTACGGTGTACTGACAGACGGTAGGGTTGCGGTGTCGATTTGCGAAATACGAAGAGATTTCCGAGAAATTCACTTAATTTTAGCTTAGTTGTTTGATTTGAACCACATAGTTTAACTTCTTACTATAATTCTATCAATTCGTTATTAAAAAGGCAACGTGTATAATAAAAATATTTTGTAATATTTATACCAATAATTATATGTACAAAATATAAATAGAATATCTTCTGGGATAAAGTAGAAATGAGCAATTTTATTTTTACGAACAAATCTATCCCACGGGAACCGTACATTTTTCCAGGATAAAAAATAGCCTTTGCATAATTCTGATGTATGAGCTATATTATTGTAAAGTTTCATTAAAATCGATTCAATTTTTGCGAGAAACAGTAACAAACATCTATACAGACATCCATACATACCTACTCATAAACTTTTGCATTTATAATATAAAATAAGGTGCTCTTAATATAATCTAATATAATAAACAAAAATATAATAAATCCAATCGAGTTAACTTTGAAGTTGTTAAAAAATAAAAAATGTCCGTACACAATTTTAGTTTGACTGGACCCGGCATTATAACATCACACCTTTGTCTCTTAATCCACTCAAACTCAATCTATCAATGAAAAAAAAAATTTTTTTGCTTTCTATCACACTTTTTTAACTTGTTAATTTGTTATATGTTTTAAATAAAACTATCTTTTCGGATTATTTCGCGGATTTATTTTGATTTTTGATTGAAGGTGTTACATGCCTTGAAGGTATAGTTGTTACAGACAGCCTACCCACAACAACAAAAATGAAAATTTCACCAATTACCTTACAATATTTTTTAACTTTAAACATTGTTATATGTATTAAAATTAACGATTTTATCATTTGTACGAACGTCTTCCCGTATGTATACACCTGTCGCGACGCTCAACTTTGATTGACGGGCACTTTCAGTTAACTTACGATGCTTAGCGGTTATTGTTCTAAATAATCACTGTTTAAACCGATAAATACGTCTAAATTAACTAAATAAATCGATAAATTTATTTTTATTAAGTACTTACCAATCATCCGTATAAACTTTAACATGTCTAAATAGTATTAAATATAATGTAGGCAAAGTAGTATTTTTCGTATTTAGCCCCTTTTTACCGTCCCACTGCTAGGCACGGGCCCCCTTTACTACACGGGGGGCCAGACCACGACATCCAAATGACATATTTAAAAATTACACCACGTAGTCAAAATATGACTTCTATACTATCTATACTTACGTATTAATATAAAATGTTTGTTTGTTTTAACATATCAATCTCTGAATTTACTTGTTTGATTTGAAAAAATGTTTTTGCTTTTTAAATACTATTTATTGAGAAAAGTTGTATATAATAGGTTATCTTCATCACACTCCGAGCTACGAGAACGAAGTATGTCTACAAAATTAAACGACACAGGCGGAACTGCGAGAAAACTAAAGTCCAAATTTTTTTTTATTTTTCTATAAGCGATATCTGTTGTAGAATTTGCTTAATGTTCTGTTTGTATTTTAGGCCATCCAT